TAAATTACTCACTTTACATTGTGAATTTTGTCAGTTAGAGAAACATACTCGTAGTCACTTTCCCGATCGAGTTAGTTCACTCCAATGTTTGGGGTTCATTGCGTACCGTGTCTACTTTTGAGTCTAGGTATTTTATAGCGTTTATTGATGGTTTTTCACGTTGCACGTGATTATTTTTAGTGAAGAACAGATCTGAATTGTTTTCTATTTTTGAACAATTTTATCGAGAAATAAGAACCCAATTTGGTTTCTCTATTCGTACCTTAAGAAGTGACGATGCACGTGAATATTTATCACAACAATTTCAAATGTTTATGTCATCCAATGGTATTTTGCACCAAATATTTTGCCCTCATACACCTCAATAACACGGGATAGACGAACGCAAAAATCGACATCTCGTAGAAACCACTCGGACCCTACTTCTCCATGGTAATGTCCCTCTTCGGTTTTGGAGGAATGTTGTGCGCACGGCATGTTACCTCATAAATCGCATGCCATCATCCGTCCTTAATAATAAAATCCATCATTCAATCATGTTTCCAAACTCTCCTCTTCACTCAATTCCTCCTCAAATCTTCGGGTCTACGTGTTTTGTGCATAATCTTTCCCCTGGTCTTGATAAACTATCAGCTCGATCACTAAAGTGTGTCTTTCTTGGTAATCATCGATCCCAAAAGGGTTATCGTTGCTACTCACACACTTTGCAATGATACCTGATCTCGACCGATGTTACCTTCTTCGAGTCAGTGCCATATTTTGAGTTCACCCAAGTCACTCCGGAACCCCTTAAGAAAATACTCCTACACCTCTTCCGGAAGTCCCATTTCCCATTATCCCTCATCATTCAACGGAACCTGTCGCACTAGAAACCCCTACGGTTGACCCCTCCACTTCTCGCGCACTTCAAACATATCAACGTCGTCAATCCACACCTATCATACCTATCCCTGAGGTAGTACCTATCCCTGAGGTCATTGCAGATTCTCCTCCGACGCCTTCGCCATCATCAGATTCGATCCTGCAACCTGAGTCTGATCTTCCGATTGCTCTTCACAAAGGTATAAGTCAAACAAGAAATCCTTCTCCACATTATATTGATTTATGTTATCATCGACTTTCCCCTTTGCAGTATACTTGTTTGTCCTCTTTGTCTTCTGTTTCTATTCCTAAATCTCCAGGTGAAGCATTATCTCGCCCCGAGTGGAGGCAAGCAATGATTGATGAAATGTTTGCTCTTCAAAGCAGTGGTACCTGGAAACTGGTTCCTCTACCCCCTGGGAAATCTATAGTAGGTTGTCGTTGGCTTTATACAGTAAAGGTTGGACCAGATGGTAAGATTGATCGTTTTAAAGCTCGCTTGGTAGCCAAAGGATACACTCAATTTTTTGGGTTAGATTATAGTGACACCTTCTCGCCTGTAGCCAAGATGGCATCTGTTAGACTCCTTCTAGCCATTGCAACCATTCGACATTGACATCTTCATCAATTTGACATCAAAAATGCCTTTTTACATGGTGATCTTGAAGAGAAAGTATATATGAAACAACCACCTGAGTTTGTTGCTTAGGGGGAGTTCTCGAATATGGTCTGTAGGCTACACAGGTCTCTTTATGGTCTTAAGCAATCTCCTAGAGCCTGGTTTGGCAGATTCAGTACTGTAGTACAACAGTTTGATATGATCTATAGTGAAGCTGACCATTCTGTATTTTATCATCACTCAGCTCAAGGGTGTATCTATCTTATTGTGTATGTAGATGATATTGTCATAACTGATAGTGATCAACAAGGAATACTCCAGTTAAAACAACATCTCTCGAATCAATTTCAGACAAAAGATCTTGGTAGACTCTGCTACTTCTTGGGAATTGAGGTGGCCCAATCCAAAGATGGCTTGGTGATTTCCCAGCGGAAATATGCTTTAGATATTTTGGAAAGAAAAGGGTTCTTAAATGCAAAACCAGCTGATACTCCTATGGATCCAAGTGTCAAACTACTACCCAATCAGGGGGAGCCTCTATCTAACCAAGGAAGGTACAGGAGATTAGTTGGAAAGTTGAATTATCTCACAGTCACTCGTCCTGACATTTCTTTTGCAGTTAGTGTGGTAAGTTAGCTCTTGAATTCTCTTTGTCGGGAACACATGGATGTTGTTATCCGGATTCTGAGATACATCAAATGTGCTCCAGAAAAAGATTTTGTGTATGAAAACAAAGGACATACTCAGATAGTTGGATACTCTGATGCTAATTGGGCAGGATCACCCATTGATAGAAGATCCACCTCGAGGTATTGTGTCCTTGTTAGAGGAAACCTCGTATCCTGGAAAATTAAGAAACAAAATGTCATTGCCAGATCAAGCGCCGAGGCAGAATATAGGGTCATGGCAATGGCAACTTGTGAACTTATTTAGTTAAAACAGTTGCTCAAGGAACTTCGAATTGAAGATGCAAAACCAATGACACTTATTTGTGATAATCAAGTTGCATTGCATATTGCTTTAAATTCGGTCTTCCACGAGAGGACCAAACATATTGAGATAGATTGTCACTTTGTCAGAGAGAAGATCGAATCAGACGACATCACCACAAGCTTTGCCAACTCCAATGACCAATTGGCCGATGTGTTTACAAAATTCCTACGAAGCCCCAGAACCAACTATATATGTAACAAGCTTGGTGCATTTGATTTATGTTAGAAATTAAAATATTTAATTCTGCATTTTCCAAGTAGTCAATTCATTGCATACTAAGTTCTACGTATTATTTTAATTCTTTTCTTGTAAGTTGCACATAATTATATATTATCCTTGTAAATTGTAACAAAGTGATTATAAATTAAGCTTATGCTGAGAGCAATGTATCTCAAGTACATTCATACATATTTCTCTATGTTTTCATGGCATCAGAGCTCCTAATCTAGGGGACTCTACCTCCGCTAATCATTACTTGGAAAATCTGATTGGACATTTTTATGCCGTCAGAACCCTTAAATCTTGACTAGGCAACACTTGTTGTCAAGTTCTTTCAATTAAACACTATTTGTTCTTTCTGGTAGTTTTGCACGATTTCATACTTCTTCTGGTAGTTGTTTGTCCAGCTGTTGTTTGTACACTTTTTCGCATCGAAATACACTTTTAACTACCCAGTTATGGAGGAGGAGATTGTAAATCCATTTGCTCAAGGAGGTAGTTCTCAAGTCCAGAATAATCTGTCTGGAGAATTACAGAGCACCCAGCCTGCTTATCGACTATATGGGAAAAATTATTTGAAGTGGGCCCAACTTATTCGCACTGTATTAAAAGGAAAAGGTAAACTCATTCATTTGACTGGTACTGGTCCAGCCGAGGGAGATCCAACTTTTACTGCATGGGATGAGGAAGACTCGATGATTATGGTCTGGCTATGGAACTCAATGATTCCGGAGATTAGTGATACTTGCATGTTTCTTAGCACTGCAAAAGAAATTTAGGATGCAATAGAGCCAACTTATTCGAAGGCCAAAGATGTTGTCCAAGTTTATGATGTGAAGGTCAAAACAGTTGCCGCTAAGCTAGGAAATAAATTTGTTACAGAATATGCCAACCAATTGAAGTCTCTTTGGATGAAATTGGATTACTATAGAGTGATAAAAGCTCATTGTGCAGCAGACTCAGCAGTCCTTAAGGAGTTTATTGAACAAGATAGGGTCTATGACTTTCTTGTGGGATTAAATTCTGAATTTGATCAGGTAAGAATTCAGATTCTAGGAAAGCCTCAAGTTCCTTCCTTAAATGAGGTTGTTGCCATCGTAAGAAGTGAGGAGAGTAGAAGAAACTTAATGCTAGATACTTCATCCATTGAAAGTTCAACCATGATAGTTAAAAATCTTAAAGGTGGTGGACAAGCAAAGGTGGAAAAGAAGGGCGAATTGTGGTGTACTTAATGTAATAAATCTCGACATACTCGTGAGAAGTGTTGGAAGTTGCATGGAAACCTCCTAGTCATGAAGAAGGACAAAGAGGAGGCCTTCCCGGAGGTGTATCTCGCAAAAATAGTAGGGCTTATGTTGCTGAAAAAGTTGAAGAAAACAAGGCAAAATCTTCAAATAATTTGGGATTAAACAACCTTAACCAAGAAGAGATTGAAAGAATGAAGGTTTTTCTTAACAACTTGGAGAAACCAAAAGGTACTTGTACTTTGGTGTATTCAGGTATGTTTCCAATTTCATTCGGATTTAATGCCTCAAATATACTCTCTACTTCCCTTTGGATTTTAGATTCAGGAGCCACGGACCATATGACACCTTCATCCAAGTACTTCTCCACATATCACCCTAGTCCTAGTAATAAGAAAATTTCCACTGCTGATGGTGATGGTACTTTAGTAACAGTGGCTGGTATTGGAGACATCCAAATAACTCCTTCCATTGTCTTAAAAAAAGTTCTTCATGTTCCAAAATTGTCCACGAACCTGGTCTCTATACAAAAACTTACTAAAGATTTATCTTGTATTGTAATTTTTCACAATCATCATTGTGTAATTTCAGGACAAGGATTCGGGGAGGACGATTGGACATTGCTAGAGAAGGAAATGGCCTTTACTATCTTAAAGAACCAAATCAGCTTATTACCACAAAGAATCACTTGTCTTGCTCGTTAATGTCAGAGCCACATCTCACAAGCAAAGAAAAAATAATGATTTTCCATTGTCGATTAGGACATCCCTCTTTTGGAGTTATCAAATTTATGTTTCCATCTTTGTTTTCTAAAGTGAAAAATGAGACTCTTCATTGTGAAGTATGTGAAATTGTAAAACATAAGCGTGTATCTTTTCCTTTGAATAATAAAAATGCACAATTCCTTTTCATCTTGTCCATATTGATGTTTGGGGGTCATCCACTACTCCAAGTGTGTGTGGTGTTTGATGGTTTGTTACTTTCATAGATGATTGTACCCTAGTTACTTGGTTGTTCCTTCTTAAGAATAAATCTGAAGTACCGTTCTCCTAGTTTTTTTCTCAATGATTCAAAATCAATTTGGTGTGAATATCAAAAGAATCAGATCTGATAATGGAAAAGAGTTCTTCAATCATGTCATTACTCCTTTTTGTGAAAAAGAAGGAATAATTCATGAGTCCTCTTGTGTAAAAACCCCACAACAAAATGGAATTGCTGAAAGAAAAAATGGTCATCTTCTTGACCAAACTCGGGCATTGTTGTTCCAAAATAATGTTCCAAAGTATCTTTGGGGAGAAGTTGTTCTTACAGCAACATACCTCATTAATCGGCTACCTTCTAGAGTGTTGGAATTAAGGAGTCCTATGGATATTCTTTCGTCCTTTTATCCAAACATTTCGACCACAAATAATCTTGTCCCACAGATCTTTGAGTGTGTCTCGTTTGTTCATATCCATAGTCAAGGTAGGGGAAAGCTTGATCCTAAGGCTCTCAAATGTGTCTTTGTTGGGTACTCTACTATTCAAAAAGGATATAAGTGTTACCACCCTCCATTAAAAAAAAATTATTTGTGTCTAGAGATGTTACTTTTCATGAAGGAAAAGCCTACTTCACTCAACCTTATCTTCAAGGGGAGTCTCTTAGTGAAGATAAGAGTAATTCTCTTGAAACTCTTATTCTTCCTAATCTTGAAATGAATTCTCATGAGATCAATTCGAGAGAAGGAATGGTTGGAAATGAATCTAAAAATGAGGCATTGGTTGAAGATAGATTTGGAAATGAATAAGGAGATGAAGCAGTGGCTGAAAATAGAAATGAGAAAGAAGCAGTGGCTGAAAATAGAGCTGAAATTGACAAGTTTGGAATGTATACAAGGAGATTAAAGGCCATTCCTTAAGCAACAGATGTACAAGAGACCGATCCAAGTCCTTTGACACAGGTAACAAATTCTGATTTTTCTGTTTTACATGATATTCCAGCCCTACATAATGAAATAGTTCATAACCATGATCTCCCAATTTCCATTAGAAAGAGCGTTAGAGAATGTACAAAAAATCCACTCTATCCTCTCTCAAATTATATTTCATTTCAAAGTTTTTCTCAAACCCATAAAACCTTTCTTGCAAACTTAAATACCACCCAAATTCCCACTAATATTTTTGAGGCATTATCCGATAAAAATTAGAAACGTGCTATGGATACAGAAATGGAGACATTAGAGAAGAATAAAACATGACAGTTGGTTGCTTTGCCGGAAGGCAAAAAAGGAGTTGGCTGCAAGTGGGTGTATACAATAAAATACAGAGTTGATGGAACAATTGAGAGGTACAAAGCAAGGCTGGTTGCTAAAGGTTTCACACAAACCTATGGGATTGATTATTCAGAAACTTTTGTCCCGGTGGCTAAGATAAATACGGTTCGGGTTATATTATTCCTTGCTGCCAATTACGGATGGGAATTACAACAATTTGATGTGAAAAACACATTCTTACATGGAGATCTTGAGGAAGAAATTTATATGGATGTTTCACCAGGATATAACAAAAACGTTGCAGCCAATTTTGTTTGTAAGTTGCAAAAGGCATTATATGGATTGAAACAGTCACCTCGGGCATGGTTTGAAGGGTTTACTAAGGCTATGACAACATTAGGTTACAAACAAAATAATGGGGATCATACACTGTTTATTAAACACTTTATTTCAGGGAGAGTAACAATGTTGTTGGTATATGTTGATGACATTATTGTGACAGGAAATGATTGGAAGGAACAACAAGTCTTAACTCAACATTTAGCAAAAGAGTTTGAAGGCTGAAGGCTGAAGTATTTTTTAAGAATAGAGGTGGCTCACTCAAAAAATGGTATTGTCATATCTCAACAAAAGTATATCATAGATCTGTTCAAGGAAACAGGTAAGCTTGCTTGCAAACCTGTGGGCCGTCCTATTGATCTAGGTCATAAGTTGGGTAATGTGAAAGAAGGTGCGGTAGTGGATAAGGAAATGTATCAAAGATTGGTTGGGAGATTAATTTGCCTTTCCCACACTAGGCCAGATATTGCATTTGTTGTAAGTGTGGTTAGTCAATTTATGCACAATCCAAAGGAAGTTCATTAACTTGCAACTCATAGAATTTTACAATATCTCAAGGGAACTCTAGGAAAAGAGATTTTGTTCAAAAGGAATGGAAGTGCTACTCTTGAGGCATATACATATGCTGATTACGCGGGCTCGGCTACTGATCGGAGGTCAACTACAGGGTATTGTACATTTCTCGGAGGAAATCTTGTAACTTGGAGAAGTAAAAAGCAGAATGTTGTGGCCTGATTCAGTGCTGAAGCTGAGTTTCGGGCTATGACACAAGGTATCTGTGAAGACAATGGATCCATAGATAAAATTATGAAGCAAGAGGCCAGAGAAGGATGCTTCCCTTTAATACCAGATCTGGTGGAGGATGGTTGTTGTATCAACCAAAACCAATTTCTCCTGTAGAAAGAGGGGAAGTGCCGAAGTTAGTGAAAACAGCACTGTCAGTTTTTTAGCCATCTAAAGAATTAGAGGAGGTCAGGATTTAGTCCCAGCAGAGAGAGAAAATGTGTGGAATCAGGTGAGTAATGGTTGTTCAAACTAGAACTGAACACAGAACCAGGAGGCCAAGGTGAATCTGACAGACAAAGTGACATCTAGAAGGACGGTCGGATGCGCCACCACACAGTGGAAACGACGGTCGGTGGTGGTTAATGTTGGAAGAGACAGCTGAGTGTGAGAGCATGTGTGTGGTTGCTCGACGATGTGCTTCGGCCAATGGCCCGATCTGGAGGAAGTGAATCTAATGGTTAAAAAGAAGGGCAAATTATGCGTTACAGCAGCAAAGAAAGGGTAGGCCAAAGTTCTATGCAGCACCGACACCTCTGGAAAAAAATGTGTCCGTGTCCGTGTCGAACACCGGCACTAATATTTGTGATTATGTTTAATTTATTTTTTTCAAATTATTATCGATGTCGTCATGTCAGTGTCGGAATCGTGTTCGGGGTGTCCGTGCTTCATAGCCAGAGTTTGAACACAACTATAAAAAATTTTTACCGGAAGACAATGGATCCATAGATAAACACGGTCTCAATAGGCTCTGAATAAGAGAGAGAAAATAAAAGAGACACGTGCTGAAAATTGTGTGTCAACTACAAGTTGAAGATTCTGTATAAAGACTTCGGCTTTGGCAAGACCACTTTTGAGCTTATAGTTTGTCTTTTAGTTTATAAGCATATATGTTTAAAAAAAAGCCTATTTGGTAACAATCATTTTCTCACGACCTTATAGCTTAATTTAATAAGTCAATTCACCTTACTTATAACTTAAGTTTATCATTTTTTTTCTTTCAATTTTATCCATGTAATCTTAATTAAAAAAATTAAAATATTAATTAAATATATTTTATGTCATTTCATATTTAAATAAATAAATTTTATGTCCTTATATACACAATCCTATTTTGTTTTTAACAGATAGTACATGCAGTAAGCAATGTTAATAGAATAAACCAGATAGTGATTAACTAATGTATCCGCGATTTCTTCTAAATCTCTAAATTTTATCTAGAAAATAAAATGCGGTAAGCAATGTTAATAGAATAAACCAGATAGTTGCAATTACCAAGAAAAGAAAAAAATTAAACACGAGCTTTCTCATAGGTTTTCTACTCATTTGGATTAACTTGTTAGAGTTCATAAAAGCTTATAATCAAAACCTTACTGAGAGAACTCTTAAGAGTCATGCATAGTATGAAATATGGTCTCAAAAATATGTCTTTAAGTGGAGACAATCATCATCTTACAAGTCGGATTTGTAAGGTTGAGTCACCTCCAACCACAATACTAAGATGGTATCAAAGTCTATCCAAAATCCGTTGGGTCATCTGCTATCAGATTTCCGCTTAAGAATCAGTCATCAAATGAAATATAGCCTTAAAATATATTTATTAGTGGGGACAATCTTTACCTTACACGACGGTTTTATATGGTTGAACTAGGCCCAACCACAATTCTAAGAAGAACATTTAAAAAAAAAATCCTAATAATAATCTAATCCAAACATGCAGCGCACCAATTAAGAAAGGACTGATACAAAAGGAGTACAGCTCTATCATCGTTTATTATCCATAACAACGAATAGATTATAATATGTTAATATGTTTCAGGAATATATACCTATAGCTCTATCATCGTTTATTATCCATAATAGCAAACAGATTATAATATATTAATATGTTTCAGGAATATATACCGGGAAACCATACGTGAAAAAGTTGATACTGAAGGATCGGAAAACAGCTCCTCTGAGTAAAACATGTGTGTGCCTCACACCGGATCTGCACATTAAATTCAGGAACACAGCAGGATTTAGAGCTACATTCCCTATTCCCCAAAACATATCGGGTAAATAAAAATGAAGCAGCAGATTTAAAGTAAATAATATCATCTGATAAAAAAGTTAACTAATTAGTTGTTCAGTAACCATATTTTTTTCAACCTCGTCTTTGTAACATCATCCATCTTAAAGAAGAACACCCTAACAATAATCAACAATGTTATACAACCAGACAGTGAGTTAAACATTCCTTAATCCTTATATTGAATACTTCAAAACAGTAGTCATGTCACATAGCATATGATTCAATATACATTAAGGTTAGCTACTAACCTAAGGTTGTTTTTTGTTTTGCTTTTCATTGTCATTTCCGTTTGATATGTTTGCACTAATAATTACAAAATGACCTAATTTCTACCCTATCATGTGGTTTTAAGGTTTGCAAATGAAATGAAGAGAAAATAAGGTAGTGCTTCTGTAATTTTTAGTGAAAAAATATGAGCTGAAAATAAAAACCAAAAGCACCCAAATGCAAAATTTTACAGATGTCGAACCATTGATAGAATGATTTTTATGATAACAGAACATTGTAATATTGTAACCTTACATAAAATATTTGTATTAGAACTTTGGTTATGGTGGTAAAATGTTTGTGGATCTATATCGCATAAATATGAGCTATACATATTTATTCATAAGTGTTTAACTATGACTGTGAGAAGATTATATCACCGTCTTCTCACTTAGTTCTCATCGCTTCCACCCCATCCTCTTCTCACTTCAGCCGATTCCTCCCCTCCTAACGCGGATGCCAGCTATTCTCCCCTCCCAGCACCGCCGCCTGCAAAGAGGCATACGTCCAGGATGATTTTCCTCTGTTCTTCTTAATCCTCCGTTCTTCTTCTTTTCTTCCTTTCTTCTTTTTAATCTAGGGGAACAATGGCACAACAAGTGGGGGTAGAAGAATGTTGAAGAAGATGAAGAAATGGAAGAATATAATCGGGTGGAGGATAAAGAAGAAGACTTTTTTTGATGATGATCTATGATTTCAATGTATGTTGGAATTTTAATATAATAGTATTCTAAGTTTGAATTTTAAGATGTGATGTTTTGAATTTGATTAACACTTGTTGAATTTTATTAAGAGTTTTTAATATAATAGTATTCTAAGTTTGAATTTTAAGATGTGTGGATAGGCCTAACTCATCTTTACAAAACCGACTTGTAAGATGAGGATTGTTCCTACATTTAAACACAACAAAGGTCATATATCTAAGCAATGTGAGACTGAATCCACCACTTCAAACTCAACACAATGAAGGTGTTGGAGGCAACAATAAAGACATGTCAAATTCCGCAACTAAGGCGACTAGAGGCAGACCGAAATGAAGGCGAAAATTCCAACACACTCCCTCATGCTCGGGTCTTAATGAGCCCAAAGCGTGGACGATGCAAGAAGTCCAACAATGGATCTAAGATAGGCTCTGATACCATCTCAGAATTTGGGTTGGACCTAACTCATTCCTACAAAACCGGCTTGTAAGGTGAGAATTGTGCCTACTTATAAACACAACAAAAGTCATATCTCTAAGCAATGTGGGACTGAATCCACCACTTCAAACCCAACACAATGAAGGTGTTGGAGGCTGCAATGAAGGCAAGCCAAATGCCGCAGTTAAGGCAACTATGGGTGGACCGCAATGAAAGCGAAAATTCCAACACTCGTGCTTTGATATTTGATTTTATGAATCTTTTATAGATATTGTGTTATATGTTTAGTTTTTTATTAAATATATGTTCTATAGTTAATATTCATATAATTAATCCAAAAATAAGTCAAGTAGCAGTTATCCTACCATCCCATTTTTTGGGTAGGCCGCTCCGCCCCGTTGTCTGGGGTTGATAACTCTGACATAAACAATATTTATTTTCATTTGCTTACCTTGATTCACGAATGAAAAATGAATGCCTAGAGGGAAGAAGTTGCTCGGTTAAGTTACAATCTGTCCCGGAAATAATAAAACCCATCTCCTCCAGATCAGATTTAACGAAAGACATCTGCATCGCAACAAAGAAATAATTGTAAACAAAACAGTGTCAGAAACAGCAAAATATTGGTGCACAACTGAAGACAAATAACTTAAGAGAATAAAAAAGAGTTTCAGTCACATATTGTTTTGTATAGAATAGACAGATATTGATTGTTCTCCATGTTGAAAGAAGAATGCCAATAATTCACATAGCTCTTCTTACGGGAGTACCAGATGATAGCCGTTTCATTTCATAAAATTAGTTTGTTTGAGAATAGAAAGAAAGCAGAAGATTAGCAGATGATATGATGTCCTGCTGTCTACCAAAAACAAATGAAAAAATAACATTTTAAAGGGAAACCCAGAATTTGCATTACAAGTAAAATGTTCCTGACAAATCATGCAAATACTAGAGCTTCCCTATTTCCACGTAGTTGTCATCTATGTGAGTTTCATGTTATTTAAACTAAGGGATGAAATAGTGTGCTTGGATGAGAGATTTAAATGAGAGAATATAATGTTTTGAGGCAATTTAAAATGATTTGGACAAATTCATTGTTTGACAAAAAAATATGAAAAATTGTTAAAATTCCTTTAAAAGTTTCAATTACTCCATCCAAACACACTATTTCATCCCTTAGTTTAAATATAGACAACTTTTCAATATTTATGTGTTAATTTATACAGGTTAAGTCCTACTAAATTAAGAAACAAACAAACATACAACAAGTAAAGAGGTTTATGCAACAATGGACCTGCTGTACCTAATATTAAAATGTGAAAGCCAATATTAAGCGGGGGATGAAATAGCACCTTAAAACCTTAATGTCATCAATGCACAAAAAGAGAAAATTCTCAAAAACATAGCCAACTTTTAACTCTTTTGTATGGGCCCGTTTCTTTCAGGTTTTATTTAAAAATGGTTTTTATGTTATATACTTTTGTTTAAAAAAATTTAGAAAGATTTTTTTTTTAAAAACTTCAAATAAAAATTTGGTTTAAATAGTTATTTTTAAAATGTTATTTTAGGTATTTTATTATTAATTTTTCTAGATATCAAAATTTCAAAAAATCACTTATAAATTTGAAGCTATTTCAAAATAGTTTTTCATAAGAATTATTTTGGAGATACATCTTTTTTTTAAAATTGGAATTTTGACTATGTTTTAATCTTCAATAATGTATATTTATGTTACAGGATGTCAAAATTAGTCTTCCAATTTATAAAATTTGAATTTAAAAAAAAAAATACTTTTAATATTTTAAAATATGTTCTTATAAAAATTATTTTTGAAAATAAAAGAAAAAATCTATTTTTTTTAAAGCTAAAACAATCTAGCCTCATATACAACATGTTATGCTCTACGAAATTAAGAAACAAACATATATACCGCAAGTAACGAGGTTTATGCAACACTGGACCTGTTGTACCTAATATTAAAATGTGAAAGCCCGGTATTTCTTTAAGTAACCTCTTCCAACAATATTCAATTTGACCAAAAATTTATAAAATGGATACTTACCATTATATAGTAAAGTATGAGAGAAAGGCTGGAACAAATTTTGGTCCACTCGGTATTTTCAGATATTTTGTAAAGACCAAATAAATCAGCCATCCACTGAATCATGCTTGGATATTCCACCGGAAGTTGATATGTGTAAAGCAGGAAAATATTAAAACTTGCATACAGCTGAAGAAGCCTCCACCACCTTTAGAACCATATACACAGACATAAGTCGAAAGTACATTAAAGAGTATCAAATACCATCTAAAGAGATGATGAGGATCGAGCATGAAGGAAACAACCATATAAAATCACCTGAAAAGCCCAAGAAAGTTGCTTGTTAAAGACCAATCCACGAGACCAACACAGCTACCAACGAAAAAAGGCAGTGAGGCCCATGAAGGATGGCTAATTCCAACAACTAGCTGAATGGCAGGCAACAACAAGCAAGATGCCACCCGAAGATGAGAACCTAAAAACAGAAAGAAAAAAAAAGGACATTATTAGCATTAAGTGACACCGCTAAGAAATTAGTATAGGAGTGAAAAAGTACAGAGAAATATATATATATATATATATATATTAGACGGATACAACAAGCAGATATGTGTATGCAACTGTGTTGATAGTACAACTAGACAGTGCCTCTACGTGGTAATTTAAGAGAACCTTTGGAGTCATATCATTTCCATACAGACCAAAGTAAAATGGAGAATATGTAATGTGACTTGAGCAAAACACATGGCTTGGAGATGAAAATTTGGTATTATTGAGTATTCTACAAGTCGTACAACTTAAGCATATTAGAGCCAAAATACAAAATGGAGAAAAAGCGAGAGTTTTTCTAATGGTGTGCACTTCATCAAACAAGTATTGCTTTTGTTCCTTCTCATCACCAGCCCTTAATAGAATATTGATGTTGTGATTTTTTTCCCCTGGGAATCTATATTTACACAAGTAAGCCTATATGGAGTGGCCGCCTTGTTTTGTTATTCAAGGGGAAATGGATGTATATGTTGCTACTTTTATGGTATAGTACAACTCTAGTGGCAGCGGAAAACAATAATTGCAGTTGAGGAGGTCGATAAAACTGAAAGTGTGTCAAAAGAAAGGATGACACAACAAAAACTGTATGAAACAAAGAAGAATGATAAGAAGGTTCAGTACTTTACACTATGAATACAACTATTATACTATATTTCCAAGCTCTAGGTACTATGTTCAAGTTATGAGTTTTATATAAAAGGAGGAAAGAAATAATAATAATAACTTCAAATTTAATTGATAATGATTGGATACTAACTTGAATAAAAAAAGACTAAGTACTAATCATTATTTATAGGGACACAAGACTCTTAATTTAGAAACCTAAATAAATAAGGAAAGCGGGAAACAAGTCATGATAATAACTGCGGCATATGAAAACTAATCCTATTAATAATTTGAGAATCTCTAATTTTAGCAATTGAGCCTCCAAGATTAACCAGGATATTTTGGGATATTGTTTTATATTCAAATAAAGACAATCATGCAAAAACAGACTTTCATATTGCAAATTTACAAATGCCATGTAGAAAAAAATCAAAAAACCAAAAGAGAAGAGAGAAAATAAACAAGAGGGTCGAAATAAACTACTTACAAACCTAAATGTTCGACAATTAATATTAAACGACCCCAATATGAATCCTGCCATGTATTCAGAAAATGTCTCTTCCCATATATATCAAGTAAAGCAACAAGAAGTGCTAGCAGTTGTATAACCAAGAAATAAATTGCATAAGGAGATTTCCAAGACTGAACTCTGCAAGAGGACACCCCAAAAAAACAACAAATCAATTTATTATTTTTAAAATAAAATAAAAACAATAATTGAAAAAGAAATCAATCTCACGTCATAAACCCAATCAGTTTCGTCCACCAAGCATCTGGTATCCATGACATTGGCTTAATAGCCCATACTACGAGATAAGTCACTTGAAAAAGTATTGCAACTACAGAAAAGATAATAATTGGCCACAGTAACAACAACCTCCTTCGGAAGTGAAATCCTACAACAAGAAAAACAGCATTAGTGGTGATGAAATATACAGATCGAAGACAGCACAAATGAGTTAAACAGAGCATACAAATCAACATAATGAAGAAACGTCAATCCATATGAATAACTTTGGGCATAATTATTATCTCAACGCTAAAGTTTTAAGTTTTAACAGACACGCCCATGATAAATATAAATATTCATCAACTAGCAAGCCCTTCTTCAAATAGAAGCAATCACTAACTCCACCGCCAAATGCAATGGCGCACAAATCTTTGTTGTGAGGTCCTCCACTAAATCCTTTTCTTAGGCCCAATCCTCTATTTCGACCTCTACTTCGGTGATTTTTTCTCATACCATCACGAAAAAGCTTGATGATTATAATTTTATATACTCTAGATGCAATCTTGCAAGGCTCGTGTTATCTTCAATGATGTAGTTTACCCAAAGTTATCTCTATTCTTTTTGCTTGAACAGGATCCTGATCTTGGTCATGTATGAAGCCTATCTTGCATGGGAACAACAAGACCAACTGCTCCTTTTATGCCTTCGAACGCTCTCTACTCTAGTCTCTGGATACATTCTTTAGATAGTTATTGACAGTGTTCATTTGTATGAACTGAACTACTGGAGAAAATACATTCCTACTTCCAAAATTGCTTGAAATAGAGAGGAATTTGTTGGAAACAATAGAATTAAACACTTGGGTTTACATATTTTTTAGAGAGGATACATATTTGTATGAACTGAACTACTGGAGAAAATACATTCCTACTTCCAAAATTGCTTGAAATAGAGAGGAACTTTTTGGAAACAATAGAATTAAATTAATGTATGTTGCTTAAATTCATTTATGTCCTTAGGGAGTTGAGTTTTTATCTATTCTTCTTGTCTTTGATTCTTATAATCATATCATGTAATTAGTTCAGATATTCTTAGGATCCAAATATTAGTATCTCAATATGGTGTTCCCTTCTCCATTAGTATAGCCCTTTATGACAATCAAAGTGCCGCTTCTTTGGCTCACAGTCTAGTTATGTGTGCATACATGAAGGACGTGGAGCTGGATCTTTGTTCGTTAAAGCTTGTTGTTGTTAATGTTCCAGCTCAGGACCAGTGGGCTGATCTGGCCACCATGGCATTGCCTTGCCCCCCATCGAGATTTCCTCTTCTACGAGACAAGCTCAATGTGGTCGAACTTCCTTCAGCTTCTGACCCACCTTAAGCTTGTTGGGAAGGGTATGGGAATAGTAGTTTCTCTGATAATAGACGTTCTGTTATTGTAGTTAGACTTGCCTAATTCAGTTAGTTCTCAATCAATAACACTTAATGCATGATCTGTATATTCATAAATCTCAAACAGTCTCTCTTTGTCTCACTCTTAACTCGTGAACCATGATATAGTTCAACACTTTAAGCAAAAACAACTTAAACCCAAACAGAAAAAAAACTAAGCAGCTTACCTAATTGTGATACATTGTACAGAATTAGAAGAAATGCTACCAAATCAATAAGAGATATCAAACTCCAGTTGATCAAAGAAGCTGCAAAAAATGGAGTGGATAAATTAACAACATACTACAACAAATTGAAGTAACATCCATACATTTCTACATAAAGAAAGAAAATGTAAATATCAAAAAGGAATAGAAAACAATATTAAAAAACAAAGATGTTTGATATTCTTCCATTCATTGTTTAGCTAGTCTAATCATATACGCCATTTAAATTTTAAGATTAACCAAGTGATTAGACTCAAGGTGGTTAACGAGTTTCACTTAATGATGAATTGGTCGGGATAACCCGAGTTTAATGAGGCACAGACACCAGAAACACGACACCGACACTTACATGTCGACACCGATAATAATTTAAATAAATAAACAAATTAAATGTAAATCACAAGTGTCGGTGTTGGTTTCAAACACCAAAACTCACACGGACACACCTTTTTTTTAGAGATTTGGATGTTTGAATCTGGTCAGAGCAATTTTTAAAATGGAAGACTCCAGTAAAGAAAATCACACATTAAATATGGAGATACTCAATGCTATCTACTGCCAGCTAACTCTCAATTCAAAATCTATGACTAACAATCTAGTTGGATTTTACCGTTTGAAATTAATAAAACTCCAAAATCAAATTATCAGTAAGTAATTAAGAACAACTATTGAGTAAAGAAAATTAACAACAAAAACTGAATCATTCAATTTCAACCGAGTAAGCTCACTCACTCTCTTACTCCATTGAGAAAACACAATTCCAATGTATCGTACCTGTTAGGAGCAACGAAGGAAGCACGAAACCTACTAGAAATTTTCCCATTGGATTCGGTTCCAAGACGAAGCAATCACATCGAGATTCAATGAAACAGTTGGTGTGAAATTGAATCGGTGAAATGAGTTGATTGAATCACGAAGAAAGTACTTTCCGGCGCAGAGAGAAAAACTCGCCGGAAACTACCACCAACTCGCGATTTTCCGTTTCTTCGTTATGCAGATTTTTCAGTTTGTTCTGATAATAATAATAATAATAATAATAATAATAATAATAATAATAATAATAATAATAATAATAATAATAATAATAATAATAATAATAATAATAATAATAAAAATAATAATAATAATAACAATAGAATATAATGATATTAAAACAAACAGAATTTTGTTGATCGAGATTTTCAAAACCTGAAGCCAATAATAATAAAATAAATTAAAAAGTTTTCAAATTTTGGTTTGCATAAATGGTAATCGAGTCAAAATTTCTGCAACCTTTTTTGGATCGTATTATTTCGATTTTAGATATATATTTGAAGAAAACGACACGTTTGTCCAATGGGAATTTTCTTTTAATTAAAAAATTGAATGAGATCTGATTTTATTTTATTTGTTTTTCATTCTCGGTCGTTGGGAATCATGTCGACTGCCTTGGTGGCGGATAAGATAGTACTTTGACACACATAACTTTGTTGTCACTTTTTCCATTCTTTCTTATTATTTTTTAAAAATGTTAATTTTTTTAATATATTGAGGAAAAAAATTGTTACACAAAAAGTGGGAGATTATGCCATTCAAAAAGTGGTGAATCTATAAAAAGGCATATCAAACATATTTTTTATAAAAAAATTCCTAATGTTCAATGGAATGAGGCCAGAGTATTTTAGAGAATTAATTGTGAGATTTATGTTAATAAAAAAATCCGCATACGAATTCTCTTTCTTATATACACTATTAAAAAAATGACATTTGAGAAAAGGTTTTTACATCAGGTATTAAAATATATAATATAAAAAATAAAATTAAAAACATTTTACATCAGGTATTTATTTGCAATGATATAAATAATATGAAAAAAAATAGTTTTCGCTATCTATTACATCGGGCCATGTCATCTACTGATGTAAAAGGTTTTCTGAAAAAAATACGGTGGAATTTTTGTAAATAAGAAATAAGGTGGCAGAATTGTAAATAAAAAACTAGCAAGATATTACATCGGGGCTTACTAAAAACTAATGTAAAAAGTTCACGGACAGATTGGTAATATATAAAATATATTAAAAACCTTACATCGGGGAATAATGAAAACCGATGTAAAAACATTAGACGCTCAAACACTTACATCGGGGCAAACTTTTAACCGATGTAAAAAACACCCTTACATCGGGCCTTCTGTAAATCGGTGTAAAAAATATCAGCCCAGAACCTTGCATCGGGCCAATGTTAAAATCGATGTAAAAACGGAAAACGCCCAAACCCTTACATCGGTCCGAGGTTTCCACCGATGTAAATATAATGCAGATTATTTCCTAAATACACATTATTTCTACTGTTCAACTTCTCTCGCGCATACGCCGCCCCTTTATCGCTCACCATTCACGTCTGCTCGCTGCCGTTTCACGCCCTTCACGTCTCCTCGCCGCCGGCTGCACGAAGACTTCCTTCGCCGGCCATTTCGTCGTCCGTTCGCCGTCTTCGAAACATCCTCTGTCGTCCAACTACGATTCCGGTACGAAACTTTCTATTTTGTTCAACTTCATTATATATCTAGGAATTGGTTGAAAGTTTATATAGAATTATTTCCAAGATGTTGGCTTCTAGGTTGAAGAGGGTCATGGGTAAGTTGATATCTCAATGTCAAGCAACTTTTGTGTTCCAAAGACAAACATTGGTGTTTTAGTTTCTAAAATTTTTTAAGATATTCTTGTTTCTTTGTTTGTTACTGAAATTCATTATAAAAAATTAGAAGTACATAGAAAAATAATTAGAAGATTATACTATGAATCCATTACTTTGTTCATATATGTTTTTTAATTACTAAACAGATTATTATTATTAGAGAGGTTAATTAAGTCTAATTAGTTATAAATAGTATATATTTTGTATAAAGTTAAGAATATAGTACATGTTTTATATAATTAGTCATTCTTTTTCATTAGAGAAATTGTCTATTTAGAAACCTCCAAAAAAAGCGTTAATGGTCCTCTCAGAAACACACAGTTTATCTTTAACCTATCAAACTTAATAGAGTTATCACCTTGCCATTGAAATTTGATTCTATTTTTCTTTCTCCGTGAAGCAGCGCAACTTGCAATCTCGAAATCTCTGTGAAGTAGCGCAGCCGCGGGCACACCGTTCGTCAGACCTTCCTCCGTGTGAACATAGTTATGGATCGTAGTTGGATGAGAGCTAATCGATTAAGTGACGAGTACGAACATGGAGTGATGTAATTTCTACAGTTTGCTGAAAGTAACGCTGAAAAAAATCTTCCTACGCTTTTTCTTTGTCCATGTGTTCGTTGTGCAAATAAAGAACCAAAACGTAGTAAGAAAGAAATCATGGATCATCTAATTTGTAGGGATTTGTCAAAGTTATACAGAATGGATATGGCACGGTGAAGTAGTAGCAAAGACAAACGTGTCTCAAAGAGATGATGTTAGTGTAGAAATGGATGATCGTCTATAAGACATGATGCGTGATATTGGACATGATTCGTTTAAGAGGGCACATACGTATGATACTATATGCAGTGACAAGGATAAACCATTGTACCCGGGATGCAAAAAATTTACACATCTGTCAGCCGTGTTAAAATTATTTAATCTGAAGGCAAAGAAAGGGTATACTGACAAAAGTTTTGCCGAGTTGCTTAAATTGTTGACCGAAATGCTTCCAGAAGGTAATGTAATGCCAAGTAGTTATTACGAGGCGAAGAAAATATTGTGTCTGATGGGTTTGAGTATGAAAAGATACATGCATGCCCTAATGATTGCATATTATACAGAAAAAAGTATGTAAACTATAATCATTGTCCGAAGTGCAAGGCTTCACGCTACAAAAAGAAAGATGGTGAATCAATTGATGATGAGGTGGTCAAAAAGGGTCCTCCTGCGAAAGTGGTATGGTACCTACCAATAATTTCAAGGTTCAAGAGATTATTCGCCAACACAGATGATGTAACACCCCGTTTTTGATTAAATGTTAATTCGGTTATTTGAAATAAAAATATTCATAATGATAAAATACTATTTTGAGTAATATTATTTTTGTGTGTATTTGGCTTCGTTTGATTTATCGGTATAATTTAGTTTTTATGGAATAAATATTAATTAAATGTAATATGGTTTTAATAGAATTATATGATATAATTTGAATTAAATAATTGTTGGGGCCAAATTATAATTTTAGAAAGATAGAGGGAGGAAAGTTAGTAGTAGAAGAATAGTTTTATAAAATAGAAAAGGAGAGTTAGTAAGAGAAGAAAGAAGAGAGAAGAAAGAAGAAAGAAAAGAGGAGAAAGAAGAAAGAAAAGAGGAGAAGAGGAGAAAGAGAGCTAGGCTTGGAGTTGCAACATCTCCATCATCTTGTTTCAAGAAAACCCACACCAAGGTAAGGGGTTTGATTCTCCATCTCATATTGTTAGGTTTTGTATGATATATTTTGGATTTAGGGGTAAAATTGATAGTTGATTTTTTTAGGGTTTTGTTGGTTGATTGTTAGAATGGTTTAGAAAAGTTGGATTAGGAGTATGGTTTGTGGGTGTATTAGGTGCTAACTTGTAGAAATTAAGAGTATTGAAATGGGAAAGAAAACCATGGTAGTTGAATGAGAAAAACTCAAAAGAGTGGAGTTTTCACGCAGGCTTCACAACACGGGCCGTGTTGCAGCACACGGGTGCCCGTGTTGCTGTTCTGACTTGGCATTTTCTTGGCTCGTTCTGGTGGCCTCACAACACGGGCCGTGTTGCAGCACACGGGTGCCCGTGTTGATGCGTCTGTAGCCTCCAAAATTCTAATTTTCGCACTTCCTTTAGAACCCGTTTGTGTTCTGATTTCGGTAGATTCGTCGACGGAGCAAGTTGCTCCGAATCCAAAGAAAATTGACGTGCTAGCGTAATCCGACGTGTAGCTTGACGTAGTGAAGTTCGTCTTGCGAAATTTCGACTTTTAAGAATCGACCCGATTTTAGTGCGAATGAAATAAGTTGAGTTTAATCCTGAATCTAACCGTTCGAGTTACATTCCGGTGACTCGATCGCGATGAGAACATTGAGAATAATGCCGGTTCATTGATAATGACTTTATGTTGAAATATACTTTCCGATTTGGAATTGTTGATAGTTGATGGTTTATGTTTTGGTTGAGTAAGTAATTTCGTTTGTATACATTTTACTTGATGTTGAGATTGATAAATTATATGTATGCATGTATGTACAATAGTTGATGTTCCATTGGTTGGATTTGATGGCATGTGTATGTTAAGATTGTTGTGAGTCTTAATTGCATGCATTGGTTATATTGTACATTGCATGGCATGGTGGTCTTGAAACAGAGACGGTGGAACATTGGGTCCACAATATCTAGACGGTGACCCTATTATGGGAAAAGACGTAGTGACCTTGATCCGGAAGGGAAACATAGGTGGTGGAACATTGGGTCCACAATATCTAGACGGTGACCCTATTGTGGGAAAAGACGTAGTGACCTTGATCCGGAAGGGAAACATAGGTGGTGGAACATTGGGTCCACAATATCTAGACGGTGACCCTATTGTGGGAAAAGACGTAGTGACCTTGATCCGGAATGGAAACATAGGTGGTGGAACCTTGGGTCCACGAGTCGGTACCGCATTTGCATACGTTGAGTCGTGTTGTGAGTCACATGTATAATTGTGCATGATATGTATGTGTGTTGATGTGTTTGATTATGTGCCAATATTGTTGTTGTTTGAATTATGGTTATGTGCCAAGGATGTGAGTATTCGGATAATCGGTTTACATGGTTAAGGTGTTGGAAATGGATTCCTTGAGTAAGGATGCTACAGGTGA